TATGTAGGCCTACTGTGTATGTATTTAAAAATGCACAGATCTATCTATCTAATACGGTGATACGGTCACAAGTGATTTGCCGCGAATGAAGGTAACTTGATGCAATTCAATTACCTAAAATGGAGAATGAAAATAGTTTTCCAATGCCAGAAGGTCGAGGGGATATCGAGCAAACGATTATTATCATACCAGTCTACAGACACTTAGGGCCACCGTTTGATGCAACAAGCTGACTGGCTGCGGATACCCACATTCCTATTTGGGTAAAATAGCCAGCAGCGTTGAGGTGGGCTCAGACTCAACTGTCGCCCGGTAAAGCACCAATGCTTGGTCGCTGAGACATTATCCGGCGCTTCTCTGGGTCAAGCTATGAGATCCACTTCTACGCTAGGTAACTGTAAAAGATTAATCAATGTACCTGCAGCGCTAGCCGACGGAGCGAGGTTTCCCCATTTATCCAGCCCTGATGCATATCTCCCTACGCCCGCGTCAGATGATACCGCTTGGCTATGCGCCAGGAGACTAGTTAGAATCGTAATTTGAAGCTTTCCGTGGCCCCTCTGTGGAGAAGATGTAGAGTCTGCGGTCTGGATAACAGGCTATTTTGAGTTATACAGCGTAAAAATTGTCCTGAGCCTAGTGAGGAGAGTATATACGTCGACCGCGGTCGTCAAATAACAATACTTAATCGGCAAAACTGCTTCTGCCTTCCATTTCCTTACAACTTCCCAGCGCCCGAATCTCCCGGACAGGAAATTCCCTGGCATGGCTACCCAAGTGGGAAAGAGAACCAACTCCTTGGCCTTCGCCCGTTCTGACTGCCATACGTGTGCATCAAGGGGTCAGAAATGTGACCGCCAGAGACCACAATGCACTACCTGCATCAGTCACGGTCGTAAATGTGGTGGTTTTGCAACACCCCTGTCGTGGGATCATCGACGGACGCGCAACAGGGGCCTAGCCAGCCAAGATGATTCCGAGGAGGATGCAGCCGTCACAACTCCCAAGATAGGAAATGGCCAGATAGGCAAAGACCCTCCTCGGCATTTCAAGTTTGTACTGGGTGGGAAACGAGATCGGAAACGCCGGAAAGTGGTGCCCTCACGAAATACGGCGCGTGCAGAGATCGAGGCAAAGGCTGTCAATCCCCCGCAACCGGTGGATGTGGCCGATGGTGATGTTTCTCCCCGCGGTGATGATGAACCGTCGTTTGATCTAGTCGCTCTTGCGCAACCAGAGCATCTGTTTGATCCCTCTGATTGTATGGTTGGCCGTTTCCCAATGTCCACGTCACATCACGGCTCGTATCTACGATGCTAACGGTTTCTAGCTTTCTATCAGCATGATACTATTGATATACCCACTCCACAAGACTATTTTGCGTCTTTACTACAAACCGACTCATCTGCTTTCCCCCTTGAGACCCCGTGTATGATGGAGCGTACATCAGGAGAGGTCTCCGGCTTTGGGTTAGGTGACGCATTCCAGGAAGGCCTGTCCTTTATTTCCTCGGATATGGGCCCCGTGGAGGGATTGGTGTCAACATTACGCGCACCCACTTTGGAATCCATAAGTGGAGCTGGGCCGGGCCCAAACCAGCCTTTAGGGAATCAGCATGAGGCATTGCTGCAAATGTGTATGGTGTGGGTCCTTGAGAGATATGAATGTTGTGTTCTGACGACATGTTCACAGATGATACGGAATTCTGTGTCCTCCCCCTGACATCCGATACAGCGCTGAACCCCTTCCGCTGTCGAGAGCCGCTGTCTCAAGGTTCAAGGCTCTTGTTCCATTCCATCCTGGCGCTGTGCTGCCGGCATCTCAGCCAGATTACCGGAACACCATCCTCGGAAGAGCGGGAGCACCGTAACCAGGCGTTTAAGCTGCTCGAGAATGCACTCCAAAGTGACCAGCTCACAAGGAAAGGTTTGACGCTGCTGGATCCACTCCTGGTTCTCTTCACACTGGATGTAAGTCGCAACTGACCCTTCGGTATCCTCATCAGCGCTGAATATAAAACTGACTCATGTGTCCTCAGTGTACCCTCTCTGCGTCCGGGCGATGGTCCACCTATTTAACTCGAGCACATTCCATCCTCGAAGCATGTGGCGGTCCATCAGCCCTTGATAATGCGCGCATTCGAGCCCAAGTAGCCATGATTCTGTGGTAAGCGGACACCATGTGCACAACTAACGTACTCTACCTAACAAAGCAACCAGGTGGGACGCAACCTTGGCTCTAATCTCCCGCCAAGGGACAGTCTTCTCCCAGCCCTACCTCGACCACCTCATCCGCGCCGAGAAGAAAGACCGATGGTCATTCTACGACCTCACCGGCTGTCCAAGCGACCTGGTAGCTGTCATCTTCAAGCTAGCAGAACTGGCCCATCAAAGCACCATCGCCTCCACCATGGAATGGCTCACGTTTAACATAACCCCCATCGTCCAAATCGAAGAACAACTTCGGTCCTGGACACACCCTTCCTTCGTCACACCTTCATATACCCAGACCAGTCCTAGCGGCGATGACGGTACTCGCGCCCTCCCACTCGACGAAGACACGTTTCACGCGCACCAAGACCGCCACCATTGCGCCGAGGCATGGCGTCACGCCCTCCTGCTCTATATCGAGCGGATTTTCAGATGGGATCGGAACCAAATCCGACCGCTGTCTATCCCTTGCCTTGCGAGATTAACTCTCAACCATGTGCGGTGTTGTAGACGCACTTCGCAGACCCAGAAACAGTTATTGTTGCCTGTTTTCTTGGCCGGTAGCGAGACTGGGGATGAGGAGATGCGGGATCTGGCTAGGGGTTATTGTCGCTGGTGGGGAGAGCGCAGCAGATATAATATGTTTCATTCGGTGCCGGCGCTGTTAGAGGATATCTGGGGCGGAGAGAAATGGTGGGGAGATGTCGTCGATGAGAAGACTAAAGGCGCGTCCGCTGAGGGGTCTAATGTGCAGTTTCTTTTTGGGTAGCTTCTATAGGAACAAGACTTGCACTGCTGTTAAGAGGGTTTCATCCCAGACTAGAAGAACGATAGTATCACTAGATGGTAACGTGGTCGAGGAACCAGAAGCATAGTGGAAGCCCGACGAGAGTACATCTTTGATTGCCCCTGTAATGGTCTGGAATAAAGTATGAGCTATGATCTATCCTTCGTATGTTCATGTCATGTCCATCAATCATCTCAGCGCATTGCTAGCATTCAAAGCGTTCCAATCAATCTCCGGTCCTTTAAACTTATGCCTCCTTTCAATCCAAAGAACTAAGATCAGTACAAATAGACCCGTGATGACCACCGAATTACTATTCTCTTAGCCACAGTCCCGTATTCAAAAGGAATCTAAAAGAGAACTCACTAATTCATGCTCCCCAGAGTTGTAGGCACCGTAACTGGGAAACAAAAGAAGATCCCACTGATGATCAACCAGAGAACTGAGAAGATATTCACCGCATACCCGACAACGGGCCCTAGGTCGAAATGCCGACGGGGTAGTCTGTGGCGACCGCAAGTAGCCAGGATTCCTTGTGGGACGGTATATGTTATATTCAGAATGAGGATTGCCGTGTTCACGATCGAGTTGAACGCCGCGGTTGACGCGACGTAGAGGAGGCCGTAGATAAGACAGAAACCGGCCGCTAGTAGGGTAGTGCGAATTGGGATTTGGCGAACTGGGTCGATGTGGCTCCAGTAGGACGAGAAGGGAAGGCCGTTCTTGAAATCAGGACGCTGTTAGCTTGTTTCGTCGCTGCTCGGTTCTTTCGCTGAGGTACTTACGTCTCGTGAAAATGCCCATGCTATTCGACTAGAGGCGATCCACTGGCTGGGCACACATGCTGTTTCGGTTAGCTGGGTGGTGTCCTGGTAATAGTATGGTGAGGGATCATGGTGAGATTCATACTGTAGTAAAGCAAAGTTAGATAGGCCTGCAGGATTGTAGCAGCGACCTTGTTCCCAGTTGCTTGATAAAAAATCTCCATGCTAGGCAAAAATGCTGCCTGCACTGCTTCCAGGTCGGTGATCACAGTGGCCATGACCACAATCCAGGGTACAGCTGTGAGGACGCCAATGAACATAGTCATGTTGCTATTGTATCTTGTTAGACTGATCAAGGATATCCGTATAGAGAACCTACATGACTTGGGGCAATTTCCGTCCAGGATCCGGCATCTCCTCGGCGATATGGGTACATGCGCTTGTCGCAGCAAAGCAGTACTGGCCCACGCCAATACTCATAAGCCACGCCGGTGCAGGACCCCATCCACTAGATCCATGGTATTCGACAATATTGGTGGGACGGTAGTGGTCTCTACCCATGGATAGGCAGACTATTATGACTAGGAGGAGACCGACAACGGACAAATACATGGCCGTCTGCGTTAGCCGATCAATGTGCTTCTGTGGAACTGTGAAGATGGGAATAACTATATGTTGTTAGTATAAATCAACAGGACAACTTATTCAGAAGTGAACACAGTATCTAGGAAATAGAAGAAACAAACGTGTCACAATCACTACAAGAACATAGCAGAGATACACCTGCCACTGCGTGCCGGCAAATTCCGGATACCAGAACTTCGCAATCCCAAAGGCTGATATAGCCGTGTATATAATCCCTGAAGCAGTGGTTACCCACCATGCCACCACATTAAAGATGCCAACCGTGTAGGCGGCAAAGTTCTTTGAGAACTGTGGAGCAACAATGTATGTGAAATGGTATTGACCCTGTGAGTTTGGTGAGTGTTCTGTCGCTGGGAGAATCCCTGTATCGTGATACGAGTGCTATCAAGAGACTTACACCAGAAGAGGGAAGGGCAGAGCACAGTTCAGCCAGCCCCAGAAGGACGATCCACTGGACTGCCGAAGCGATCATTAACCCAAAAACAGCAGTTTGGCCACCCCCGTAACCGAGGGCCATCCCAAAGCAGGCAGCATAGGAAAGCCACGAATTAATGATGCTAGACACGGTTATTGCCTTCGTCCAAATTGCAGAACGGTTTTGCTTACCTATAGGCCAGGCCAATTGCTCCAGCCCAGGAGAATGATCGTTCTAGCTCAGCCACATGGCCCTGGGCCCTCAGGACAGCATCATCCAAGTCATACACCTCACCGAAGCCTTTCCCATCCGGGTTGGTGAATGGAACGTGTTTTCCATCTGATTCAACTGAGTTTGACATGGTGATTTAAGCTGTTCCGTCGGGTTTGAACATGCACATATGAAGGAAAGGGGAATGTTTATAGAGACTCCGTAGTCGGACATATATATATGCAATACTAAACGCCACTCAAACTTAGACCCAGCGGCGAACGAGGACTAGCAGCGCCCTTGCTTCCGGATGAGCGGACAACAGGTAAGCACCTCCGGGGAGATTAGAGGGGCCCATGACTATACTATCTCCTTGCCTAGTGCTGTGCAACACGTCCTATACCGTTAAGCGTGGAGAAAGGCAACAACTGCCAATCAGAATCATATGGAGTATCTGCAACATAGACTAAGAAGGGCTAGGAATGCTGGAAAGTGCGGGGAAATGATGTTGGGCGAGTCGCGACTCCAGCTTGGTGGGTACCATTCTGCCCTAGATTGACTTTATCAGCTCACTTGCTAGATAGGGACAAGATATACACCCTCGATAAGAGCCACTGTGCACCGTATTGGGCAACTCTTGTAGATTTATGTGTATTTGAGTCACTTTTCCGTATGGTTGAACAGAGTAGAGGTAATATCACACGTTTATAGCCCCGTCCTGTACTAGTAGCAGTATTTGATTCGAGGCAAAGGAGGCACTTGATAAGGGTGCCTATAACATAATGACGTGGTCCGACACTTCTCTTAAGCCCTGATAAAGAAGGTTAAACTGAACAGATCATCAATCAGAGAAGTGCTGTGGCCAGTTACTGGTTCTTGTGTCATCAAAGATCCGAAGCGGTAGGGATGTTGGTCGCAATATATACTCATGCTCAAGCCAAGAAGCTCTCATTAACATGGATATGTGGCATGATCTATCACACTTTGCTTCACTTTGTCATGTGTGACATGGTCGTATGATTTTATCTGATCTTCCCAATGGTCTTGCCATATCATGTATTCGAAACCCAACTAGGCATTGGTTAGATACTCCTCTCGGCAAATAGAACCTGTAGGTACTGTTCCGGATATAGTAGATGATCTGGTCATTATGACAATATCAGTCTACGAGATCAACATGGCATGCTAGTTAGAATAAAACCAGATAATGAAAGCTTGACGCATATAATCAGATGTATTAGTTCAAAACACTTAACATTGAAAACCAAAAGCAGTACAGACTCAATCTTCAATTGTACCCAGGCTAATCAAGAACATAAACGCATAAACAAGGTCACAGCTTTGCGCGGCTCGCCAAAGCCTCCTCTACGAGGTTCACAGCAGCCTGAGCGCATCCATAAGATGACTGATATCCAGCTCCTCCAGCACCATAGTTGTGTACCACCCAAGTGTCTCCTATGCGTTCTTTCTCAATTCTTGTCCCATTCGCCCGCACAGGTCTCAGGCCCACACCGTGTCGAATGATATCAAGGCTCTCGATTCCCTTCCCGCCCGTAAGTTGAGGACACATGTTAACAGCGCGCTTCATAATGCGCACGGCAAGATTGGGATCCGGCTGTGATTCCCAGTTTCCCAACTGATACGAGCCACCCAGAATTGTACCCCCGCCAGCAGCGCGCGTCATAACGTAGCATGCTTCACCATCACCGTCGTCAGTGCCGGAGACATCCAGCATCTTACCAGCTTCGTTTCTGACTATCACGATCTGTCCACGGGCGGGTACAACGGTTTTATCTTCAACTCCACCCAGTTTGGAAGCCATAAGGCCTGTGCAGTTCACAATGAGGTCGACCTTGTGTTCCAGGTGAATCGATAGGGAGGTTGCGTCCAATATGTGATTGAAAACAGCTCGCTTGAATACAACTCCATTTTTCAGACACTGGGAAACGAGCCAGGGAAGGTATATAGCAGTATTGATGCAGACGGACGTGAAGACTGTGGCAGCATCAAAGCCAGGGCCATGTCGACTCTTGGGAAGGGCGCGAAACTAATCGATTTAGAGTGAGATAGACAGCTTCGAGCCCATACGCGAAGCTTTTACTTACATTTGGAACAACGTCCTTGAACCACGGGCTCGGTGATAAAAGCTCTCCAAACCATTTTGCGGTTGTCGTACCAACATCTTTCGAACGGCTGTGTATTTCGCATTCTGCATGTTGTTAGTGGCAAGTCGTGAACGAGTTTTGTCCCATCTACCTTGGAAGTGTATCCCAGCATCAGGGTGATTGCGTGCTAGATCCTCCAACGCCGTCCATGTGGACTTGTCCCAGTCTGCTGCCTTGGTGCCACGAGTCGACATACTAAGAATGGCCTTGGTGAGTAATGCGCAAGAAGCTCCTGGTTTAAATTTGACTCACGGCATATAATTTGCGCCGGCCCACGGTGAAGCATATTCGATGTCGTAATCTCCAGGCATATGTTTCGCCGCAACGACTATCTTGTATCCTGGAAGCCTCGAGAGGAGAAGAGCAGTCGTAAGGCCCGCCACTCCGGCACTGAAATCAAGCATGGAAGTCAGACATAGCTATGGCAGCCAATACGCAGCATGCGGTTTGAAGGTTCCTCACCCGATAACTACCACATTCCTTTGTTCCATTGCGCCGATGTCTCGAGAAGCGATATTAACTTAGACAGTTTGCTGAATGAGGCTTTGAGAAATGAATATATAGTCCCAGCCTTCCAATAAGAACCAACAACACCAGTTCCCGCAAGGGCTTATGAGATAGCAAAATACCAAAACAAGTATACTATGACTCCAATTCACTCTACAAGCATATTGCCTTCTCCAAATGCGCTGCCAAGAGGGAAATAGTTCCGTATCTCTTACCAGGCTTGGAAATCATACATAATCGTTCAATCATCCGGAATAAACTCAGTTTCCTCTTTAGGCAAGTTCCCGGTTTTGGTCAAAGCGCGACGACTATCATTTGCAGAAGCCCAGATCTTTAGTAATGAGAAGCCCTACTTTGCTGTTCTCAGATAGCTTGTTCTCCATATACTTAAAGACAGTGCACCATCTAGACATGTAACCAACATCCAAGTCAATCTTTCCCTCTACTTCGTCTACAGTCCCACACACAACTCCCCAACCTCACAATGGCCTCCATGCAAAAAGTCTTTGCCGGCTATGCCGCACGCCAGGCTGTCCTTGAGGCGAGCAGCAACCCCTACGCAAAGGGCATCGCCTGGATAGAAGGCGAATACGTCCCGCTCGCCGAGGCCCGCATCCCACTCCTCGACCAAGGCTTCATGCACAGCGACCTGACCTACGACGTGCCATCCGTTTGGGACGGGCGATTCTTCCGTCTCGACGACCATCTCACCCGACTCGAAGTTAGCTGCGAAAAGCTGCGCCTGAAGGTACCTCTGCCCCGCGAAGAGGTCAAGCGGGTCCTGGTCGACATGGTCGCCAAGAGCGGCATCCGTGATGCCTTCGTGGAGCTGATCGTGACCCGGGGTCTGAAGGGCGTGCGCGGCACCAAGCCCGAGGATATCGTGAACAGTCTCTATATGTTTATCCAGCCCTACGTTTGGGTCATGGAGCCCGAGGTGCAGCCCACGGGTGGCAGCGCTATTATCGCCCGGACGGTGCGACGCGTTCCTCCCGGCGCTATCGATCCCACGATTAAGAACTTGCAGTGGGGAGACCTGGTCCGGGGGATGTTTGAGGCGTCGGATCGCGGTGCTACGTATCCGTTTTTGACGGACGGCGATGCTCACCTGACGGAGGGGTCTGGATTCAATATTGTCCTGGTCAAGGATGGCGTCTTGTATACCCCGGACCGTGGTGTCTTGCAAGGAATTACGCGCAAGAGTGTGTTTGATGCGGCGCGAGCCTGTGGAATTGACGTGCGTTGCGAATTCGTGCCTGTGGAGCTGGCGTACAATGCCGATGAGATTTTCATGTCCACTACCGCTGGAGGTATTATGCCCATCACCTCTCTCGATGGGAAACCGGTCAATGGAGGCCAGCTTGGTCCAATTACCAAGGCTATTTGGGATACGTATTGGGCTATGCACTATGACCCGGCCTACAGCTTCCAAATTGACTATGATGATGCTCAGAAGTCTGGTGTGAACGGATTTGGGAAGCTGTGAATACCTCTAGCTGCTACAGAGATATGGGTTTTTATGTTTTGTTCTTTTCTTCTATGTTATGATCGATGAATTACAGAATATGTATGTGTTAAACTGAATAAGATAGCCATTCTAAAGCTTGTTTCGTGATTCTGTTACACCTTGCATTGAGCATCGCGAACCATTTGATTCTTTTTAACAAGTGGATGAAAGAATTGTATATGTGGAAAGAACTACCTTCAGTCAATCAATTTCCCTCGTTCCTATACCCGCTCCGCCGAAGAGATGAGTGAAATCGCCTATATTACTGCCTTCTTAGTCTCTCTGTCTGTATATATTGGAAAATATCTCAAATACCGAATTAATGATATAGTAGTATAGACCTGTACAGACGAAATAGCACATAATTTTACTCCCAGCGCTAAACTAATATAAGCCTCTAGATAGTTATCATCATGCCTTCTATCACCCTATCTTTCTACACGTTTCTAGATTCCAACTCATCATATATCATCTTCTCCACCTCCTCCATGCATCCCAACACCTGCAGATCTAGATATATAACAGTTAGCCAGCTACCATTTCCGTATCCCAATCAATACATACCTCCATACGGAAGAATCTGCGATGCAATAATAGCCCCAACCCCATTCTCCCGATCCGCAAACCAGAACAGATTTGCCAGTCCCTCCCAAGAACCAGATCCAGCTGCCCTCCCTGTTGGGCTCTTGCGATGGCTGAGAGAGAAGGACAGCCCCCAACCCTCAGTCAGGTCATCATCACAGGGCACCAAAGGACAAGGGTTGGCCAGAAGCGGCTTTCCCGATGGTGTGTATTCGTTACAATACCGAGGCATATCTGGAATTTGGTCGGTGAACATCTCTACACTCGACTTGTTAACTTGCTAAGTAACATAGCTGGATGGATTGGGATCTTTCTTGCCTTTTACTGTTTCGGGTCTCAGGAGCTGGGTTCCTGTTTTTGGGTCCGTGCCGTCGTTTAGAAGTGTTGCTATGAGCTCTATGATGTTATATGTTAGCTACATGGGTGTACATGTGTATAGATGCCAGGGGAAAGTTGGAAAACAACATACTGCAATACTCAATGGGCTTCCCGAAACAGCCTGCTCCTCCCATGCAGAACCTATTGCTTTCCATTCCAGGTTTGCACGGCAGAAGAGGATACCGATAGAGATGATCGGTGGTTTTCAATGTACCATCTTTATCGCGTTGATGCATGTACGCCAGGTTCATTTTCATCTCCACGGAGGGGAAGAAAGTGACCGATTCAATCCCCAGAGGCCGCAGAATGAACTGCTGAAAATACTCTTCCAGGGATAGACCGCTGACTCGTTCCACGAGCACACCAGCCCAATCAAGCCCAACACCATACTGGAACCGAGTCCCTGGCTGATTGACCAATGGCCGGTGCAATACGTCCGACTCGTGGCCGGAAAAGTCGTCCAAGCCGAGTGGGCGAGACCAGTCACGAAGTTTCAGATCCTCGAAGGCGTAGCCAAATCCAGCTATACATGGACAAGTCAACGTTATTCAAGGAAAATGGGTAAGCGTTAAGGAAAGCCTTACAGGTGTGATTCAGGAGCATTCGAAGTGTGATACCGCGGTCTTTTGGGACTAGACGGAAGCTGCCATCGGTCTCTCGCTCAACGACTTGGACATCCCCCAACTCTGGAGCGAGCGATTGGACTTGTTCAGCATCGTCGAGAGCCAGCTTGCCCTGCTCGACCATTTGCATGCAGGCTATGCTGGTAATCAGCTTCGTGCAGGAAGCAATCCAAAACACTGTGTCTAAGGACATCGGGTCTGGGGAGTCATTCCCACGCTTTCCAGAAGCATGGCTGAAGAATACGTCGCCCTCACGGTCTACAGCACAATAGACGAGACCGGGAACTTTTGGTGATGGGCCCGATGTTGTTGCATCTAACGTCCCACGAAGGTAGATGCGGTCTCCTGCGACAGTTTGGTAGTCATTGTGCTAGTTGTCTTGGAATAGTGGCGCTTTCAATCAGAAGCTCTCTGGAAGGAGTAAATTAAGGATGTAAAGTCAATGGTCCAGAATTGTATTTCCCCGTATTTCCGTACTCCGGGATGTTCTATGTCAATGCGCAGTATGGTACAATTTGCGCGAGTGGGATGCTGTCAGTTCTACGGTAGAGATAAGCCCCGCCACGATATAATGGACAGTATCTCAAAGTAAACTCATTAGGAAGCTGAGGGCGGCATTTCGTGACAACCCAAGTATTTCCTGATCCGGTAACAGAGAATGTTCGGACAAGACCCACTATCAGACTCCGCTCAAATTTAGGTGTGTAGAATTAAAGAGAAATACAACTGACAAATCAGGACCTATACAGTTATGGCTTCCAATAAAGTTGGAAAGTCATGAACAGAATACCGTCTAACTAGGTACCAGGGCTCTCTCTAAACGAGCCATTCGTAATCACATACATCATCAGTTCTTCACTACCTTGGAGATGCACCTCGCGACATAGTCAACATTCCCCTCATTCAGTCCACAGAGACTAGCTCGTCCAGAGGGCATCAGATAGATATGATACTCCTCCTTCAATCTGTTGACATGTTCCCTACTCAAGCCGGTATAGCTAAACATCCCAATCTGGGACTCAATATGAGACCAATCTCCAGGGGTAGTAAGGTCTTCTAGTCTCGTCCGCAATTGCTTCCGCATGCCAATTATGCGCGAGCTCATAGTTTTCAGATCTTGCTGCCATTGCTGTCTGAGCTCTGGATCCGTGAGGACGGTTTCCACAATCCGAGCACCAAATCGAGGCGGATTAGAATACTCTGCACGCGCAATCAGAGACAGTTGAGATTTGGCTCCTTGTACAGAAACATCCGAAGGGGCGATTAGATGCAATGCGCCCACGCGTTCACCGTAGAGTCCAAAGTTCTTGGAGAAGGACTGTGCAACAAATAGTCCGGGAATCCTTTGGTCAGGATCTTGGCTCGATAGTAGACGCTCTGTGAAATACCGCACTGACCATGCGTCGTCTTCCACGTTTCCGGTTGCGAAGCCTTGGTAGGCACTATCGAACAAGACAAAAAGTTTCTTTTTCAGAACCACGTCTGCCAGCTGCTTCCACTGCTCGCGGGTTAGGTCTAGTCCTGTGGGGTTGTGAGCACATGCTTGAAGGATGACCACGTCGTTTGGTTCTGCATCTGTCTCCAGCATCGAAACCATATCAGCGAATCTAATGGATCGCGTTTTTGGATCGTAGTATGGGTACTCTTTCTGAACTACTTCCGGGCCTGCCACAGCCCACACTGTTTTGTGGTTTACCCAGGTCGGATCTGGGATAAAGACATGCTGAGGCTTCAGGTGCTTGGCAAGAAATGAGGCGCCTAGATGATTTGCTCCGGTGCCAGACACAGCTTGGATGCTTGCAATGTTCCGGCTGTCCGCTAGCTCAGTCCCAAAGACGAGTGACTTAGCAGTATCCAGAAATACAGGAGACCCTGCAATACCAAGATACTCATGGTGTGATCTAGGGTCGGCCGCAATGCGCTCTTTTGCCTAGCCTTATGTTAGTATTTGTTGGACATGCAGGAGAATGATGCGCTGTAAAGCCCGTCACTCCTTACTTACTTGTTTCACACTGGGAAGAATCCAAGGTAGGCCCTTTTCATCCCGATACGCTCCTGCGATTAAGGAGACTTTCTTTGGATCTTGGTCTGCATCGAAATCGGCTATCAAGCCAAAGGCAACATCTGCTGGAAGGACGGGCACGTCAAGGTATTGGGTAGACATTTTCCTGGATGCGGCGTGTGCAAAGTTTTGAGTAGGTGCTGGCACCAGTCTATGTGGAAGATGGCTGTGGCTGCGAAGTATTTGTTGAACCGGCCGGCTGATTGAAACCATCCGTTGACAGTTGTATACAACAGGAATGCCAGAGCTGCTTTCGAAGATAAAGATATCAGGAAATGAAAGCTATCTTCAACGTATAATCCTGCATTAATATATCTATGGATATACTGCTAACATACTAACTAGTAACTGCCTGGCCGATCGGGTAGATGAAATAATGCCGACGGAATTAGGGCTAATGAAGAGCTTACTGGTGCGGGAGACTATCGGCATCTCCACCAGAAACAGAGCAGAGATCGGTCAAGCTCCGACACGCCGACGGCATACTTGCTGGAGGCAAATTGAGTCATATTTTTCACAGGCAATCAACTCATATATATACCCTCCAAAGGTACATGCCAACTCCTCCACTGTAAACCCCTAGTCAAGGCATACCCTATACAAGATTGCGCGGAGACTCAATCCCCTTATCAATTACGCCAGATGGACGACATCGCCACCTTCTCCCTAGACAACGCCCCTTCCTACGAGAAGGTCAAGCTACAAGTCGACGGCGTTAGTCTCGAACTCTCCACAATATATAAAAAGGGCAATCGTCCACCATTCGTCTTCCTACACGGCTTCGGCTCCTCCAAAGAAGAATTCAATGACTTCGCCTACCTCCCCCATCTCAACGAATATGGACTCCTTCTATACGACGCCCCAGGCTGCGGCGACACAACCTGCTCCGACCTGAGCAAAGTGAACATCCCATTCCTGGTTAAAACAGCCAAAGCCCTTCTCGACCACTACGGGGTCACCAAATTCCACCTCTCAGGCCACTCCATGGGCGGCCTAACGGCCCTCCTACTCGCATCCGAGATCCCAGACTGCGTCCTCAGCTTCGTCAATATCAAGGGCAATCTCGCCCCAGAGGACTGCTTCCTCAGTCGCCAGGTCTTTCTCTTCCCCGCTGACGACCCGGAGGTGTTCTTCCATGAGTTTACGGAGAGGGCGAGGCGCGCCCCCGCCTTCTCGAATGCCATCTATGCGTCTAATTTAAAACACAAAGTTAGTCCCCATGCCACGTATGGGATTTTGTCGACAATGGTCGAGATTACCGATAACAATGACTTGCTTGCGTTGTTTTTGGGTTTCTCTTTCCCCTGTATGTTTATGTATGGCGTGCAGAATGCTTCGTTGTCGTATTTGCCGAGGTTGAAGGAGGGTGCAGTTGAGTTGGCGGAGATTCCGTACAGTGGCCATTTTCCTATGTATTCTAATCCGCCGGAGATGTTTAGACGCGTTAAGGCGTTTTTGGAGAGGGTTGGTGCTTAGAGGATAGATTTGTCCTTTTTTGTTTTCCTTTTTAGACTTGCGTTGACTTCTAGATTGTCCTTGTGGAACTGTCGTGTTGGATAGAATAAATATCTTAGAATAGACTTGATGCTTGATCGAGGGTTGGGGGTACATGGCGTTACGTGTATGAGATATTATATAGCCTTTTGCTCTACATTCTTTCTGATCTTGCTGGTTTAATCTAGATTTGTTAATGGATCACACAAGTCCTCGGTAAATCATCATATTCCATGTAGAAGGATTCTATATAACCTTTTTCATACATATATGAAATCCATACATATATTAAGCTATTTGCTCCATAGTTCGTTTGGAAAGACATAGTACGGCTGCACAACGCATCCGTAACGCTAATTAATTATATTAGGAACACAAAGGTATATATAATAGATATCAGGCGGCTAAACTCAGCTCCAACGACTCATCACGTTCTATGTAATGATGAAAATTAAACGCCCATGCCCCACCTAGGAGCATTAATGATAATTCCCATAAGGCAGCCAGAGATAATACCAGCTACGGGCAGAGTAATGATCCAGCCGAAGTAGATCCACAGAATCATGCGCCAGTTGATGGTACGCCAGGTTCCATTGCAGAGACCAACGCCAACAGTTGCACCTGAGATACATTGCGTTGTGGAGACTGGAAGCTCTGCAGATTGTTAGTTGTTAGATAATGCCATCATTCAGGAGTATACAGTGGACTTACTGAGCCTGGTCGCTGTAATGACCGTAATCGCAGAGCCAAGTTCCATGGAGAAACCACGGGAAGGGGAGTGAAGCGTAATCCTATTACCAAGATTTCGCATGATATTGTAACCGTAGGTCCAGATTCCGATTGCGATAGCGGCACCTCCAAAGGCCCTGTGGAGATAAGTTTTGATTTGTTCATCGTGGCGGTGTACATGGTACTTACAAAATCCAGTAAGGGACGGGACTCTTGGAGTTGAGTTTTCCAGATTGCCAAATATCGTAAATCGTGGCATATGGGCCAACAGCACTATGATAATTAGCAAAATCTAAAATTAGCTAGACATGGAGACATACTTGGACACATCATTGGCACCATGGGTAAAAGAAGCAGTGGATGCCGTCAGCACCTGCAGGAAGGAGTACATGTACTCAGTCTTATTATCGTAATGTTTTGCGTGGGCATGGGTCATTTCGATGTCGCCGGTAAGAATATTCTTCTTCTTTTGCAAGCTGACGACGTCTTGCTCGATTCCCCGAAAGAAGAAGCGCTTGAACTGCCAGAACAGCATAGCTGGGTGAAAGAACCCCTTTCCTTCCGGTCGAGGGCCAATGATTGAGAATTTTGGCTTGGGCGCCAGTGAAGGTGCATCGCTTGGCGCTTCTGACTTCAAAGCCTCGGACGAAGTATTCTGGTCCTCTTTGACCAGCCCGCCTTCGTTCTCTAGGTCTGACGGTCGGTTTTCTTGAGTCGCAGCGCGCTCCGCCTGCAGCTGCTCTAGAGTCTTATGGCCACTGTAGTAATCTTGCACGGGCGAATACCCTTCCGGCGGAGGGGGAACTTCTCCACGACGTAGAACTAGAGGGCCAAGGAAGAGGTGGTACCATTGAAGCTGCCAGTCCTCCTTCAGTAATCTTCGGTACAGCCAAGGAAGGAAGAAAATGGTAACGATCAAGGCGACAGCAGCGCCAACCCCAATAATCACACCAACAGTCTCTGCGTCAGTGAGGGTAATCCTGCTTGACCCACCCTTCCACACAATGAGCACTATATGTAGGTAAGCGAACATTCATGCGGGTCTAGGTATGCGACTCACTGGTGAGGAGAGCGGAAGTGATGCCGAAGTAGATCGGAATGGCAATGAAAGCATTCCGGACTGAGTTGCTCCGCAGCATCACTCCGTACTTGGTAATCAGGAAGACGATAGCGCCAAAGGCGCCCGACATGAAAGGAGCAATGATCCATGCCAGGAACACCTGAACAACACCGGAGTTGATATCACCTCCCCACCACGAAACGCCATTCGCTCCAACCGACGCAATACCCATTCCAATAACACCGCCCATGATAGAGTGTGTGGTGGAAACAGGCATTCCAAATTTCGTCGCTATAGTAAGGTAGATAGAAGAGCCCATGACCGCACATAACATGCCCAGCATAAGCATAGAGGGATCTTCCTTGAAGAGATCGACCGCAACAACCTTCGTCCGGATAGTATCTGCAACACGGGCGCCCACACCAATACTAAGTCTCGGTATTAGCATCTGAATCCTCAAAAACACGGGCTGGGAAGGACAGTAGAGTGTCCGTACCTGCCACAAAATTCCATGATGGAAGCAAGTACCATGGCCTGCCAATACTTCAAAGATCGTGACGAGACTGACGTCGCCCAAGAGTTGGCAACATCATTGGCGCCAATATTCCAAGCATCCAGGAAGGCAAAGATGGTGCCGAGAGCAAAGATGTAGTCAAACTGGTGAAGGGCCATCTTGGCAGAGGCTTGAAGCCAACAAGAGACTGGTCTTGAGTCAGGTTACAGATCTCCATAAATAGAGGGGCATTCATAGCGCTTATATACACCATTGGCGATTTCCTACAGAAAAGTAGGTAGAACAAAAGCAAAAGTATAACACGAGTGCCCAGCGCATCCATACTTTTGGACATCGTAATCCGCCCACCCTCCATGTAACCTTAGGCGAGGTCAGTCCATTCATTCGTAAATTGACCCCAACATGAGAGCACCAGACTCAAGCCTAGGCATAGTTTCTTATCAATTTCGGCCGCTGAAAGTCAACTGATGGGCTCGGATGCTCCGACGCTCTTGGCAGCATATCGTTCAATTGCCAAGTAGTCCGCTCATGAACAGCCTTGGCACCATTTGCTTCGAAGGCTTGTATGGCCAATTAAAGCTCTATAGAAAGGAACGTGGGCTCGGATCGAACTCATGAGTAGCGCTAACAGTCCAGCTTCAGATTCTTGGCATCCGCCATGGTATACGACAGTGCTGCGACATGACTTGACTTCCGCTCGAAGTACCCTTGACAATTGCTGCAACCTACCAGCCCTGGTTCCAGAAAGGATCGTGAAGGGCGTAGCCGTGCCCTATCCAGGCCCGAGATTTGCCTTAGTATTCCTTTCGGTGTGGCAGCCACAGACCATGGTTAGGTACTCCAAGACTCGCTTTGGACCAGTCTTCTTGCAGCAGTTCAGCATGCTTCGTGCCTCCAAATCATTTCCTTTCTTGGCAGTTTGTCTTCTGCTCATAGAATCACCACATGGAAGCCACCACTGCAGCTGCCTGACACTAGAGCCAACTAAGATACCAAAGTAGAGGCATAGCGAAGAGAAATTGACTGGAGTAAGATTAGTACTATTGCTAGAAGCAGAAATTCTCCGACCCACCAGTCCGTCACTGATATCGTCGACAAACTCCAAACTATGACAACCATCTCATTTACCCCTCGCTTAATTTATGATCGATGCTCACTTAGCTTGGTCTGTAAGTGCTGGATATATTCCACTGTGGTTTCGATGAGCTCCACCTGTGAGAGCTCGAGCCATTATCTCATGTCAGCCAGCAACATTCTAAGACAGAGTTCAAGAAAACATCGCCCAGCTCGTCTCCGACGGTGACCTACCTTAGTGCACAGTCCCCTTTTTCGCCCGCTGTCCACGCCACTTGTACTAAGTACATGAGCCATCTGATCGAAAGCAATCTTCAGCCGATCCCGCTGGTTCTTCTGGGAGAGGGCATGCTTTCGGCGCTTGAAATCGGAGTGGCTATTAGGGATTTTGATCAAGAAGCCTCCTAAAAATAAATTCTATTAGTCACGCGAAGATAATTACTCTGAATGGGAACACTCCAGGTAAACATGTCCACTAACCATCTTTCGGACGAAGGTCAAGGTACTTCTGTAACGGATTTGAGGGTGGACGTTGTGGTGCCGCCTTGGGAGCACGTGAAGAGGTGGACTGAGGCATGACTTTCTCTGGGGTTGCTGTCTGATAGATTGACCGCTAGCTGTATAGGATTGCTTTTTGGCTTGCGGGGCCATACATGGGTTATATATGCTCAGACTAAGTGTTATGCGGTTTATCCTTCATTTACCAAGACTTTAACACCGTCTATCTCAACGAAGTACAGCACACCCCCTAACTCTCTTTGACTATCCCCGTTTCAGCAAATGCCCTATAGCTTTAAACAGTAATTGTAACCTTTCTCAACCTAGTAGATAGAAAAACTGCACTCCTGAGGTATCCCCACGGCCCATGTGCACCATCGTGACTCGAGATTTCTGCCTAAACCAGCAGTATGCCCAAACTCCATCCCCCATCACTAATCGTATATATGCCGGCATTCAGAGAGCTATAACTGGAATACATTGCGTAATCATACCTCCAGACACCCCTCCAGTCTGTGATTGACTTAAGCGTATACTTCTTCCCTTTCCTCTTTTTAATTTCGCAGATTATGGGTCGCCTCTTTTACAGTTGAAAGTCTTCTGTATCAATCATATCTTCCAGCTTGGCATATTTCGTTATCGAGTATCACCTCTATGTATATATTGAGTTTCTTCTAAGCATATTTATAGGCGGTCAAACATGGACTACGTCAAATCTTCCTAATTTCTTTGGACCAAAGCAGTCGTGCACTTTGTGAAGCAAAATAGATGCATAGTAGAATACTTACTGCAGTAGTATCATTGATTTTCATAGAACACGAGCTAGTACACTCCACTAATCTAACCAAAGGCTTGGAGTGACGATCTTCAGCCCTGACATTGACCCACTGTGGGGTCTCTCCATATGCCAACCCTAACTCAACCTGATGGACATGCTATCCTTTTGTATCTATAAGTGGTATGGTACAGTCCCATACCACTCAATGCTCTGTCTAGATGCATACACTCGTAGGGTACGCTATGGTTGTTTCCTACCGAGGCCCTCTACAGTGTTAGCTAACCGTATATAGTACGTAGAGATGTCATCATCTTAAAGTAATACCATAC